AAAAACTTCCCTGATGATCATTCAAACAGTGGAAGCCCCAAACCGAATCATCAATCTTGAAATGCATGTGAAACCTGATGTATTCCACTTTTCTCATTAATATGAATTAAAGCATTTTTGCTTGTGTGCTACTTACAGTCAAAACCTGCAGCATCTCTGTGCTGAGTTCAGTAAATGCATCCTGCTGCTTGTACTGAAACAGCAGTTTGATGAACCTCACTGCAGACATGACGGGTATTTTGTTTTCTCCTAGCAACACAACACATCTCCTTATCTCATACTGACTTTTAAAGCAATGCACAAAACAAACACACATGCTCATTGTAATAAAGGACCAAAATGACTCACCTGAAATGGCTAAATCTATCAGAGTCGAATTCTGTGTCAGTACAAGAGGAGACAAGCACGGGTGGTCATCATACCTCTGCTCACCAGTGACACCTTGACAGACACGGCCATACATGTACATTACCCACTCAGAATCCCTCACCTTACTGAAATCACAAAATGTTTTTTATTGTGTACTTGTTTCACTAACCAGATAACAAACTAATTCCAGCAGACAGGAGTTCCAGGTAGACCTCTTGTAGCTCCGGATCTTCAGGCATTCTCATTTGAAGTGGCCGCGTGTTGCTGTCCCAGAGTGCTTCCAAAATGCCCAGGAACTGTGCTGCACTGCACTCAAACAAGCCTGTTAGCAGGCGCTCTGATGGGGTACGAGGCCATGGCACCTACAGTACACACACATAGGCATGTGATTTTAGTTACAACACCGACTCACAACATTAGATTTCCTTAGAAGCAAACAGGTTGTAAAAAACAAACAGAACTAAAACAGAAATCTAGGGTTCAAACAATTAAAATATATGGCACGGAGTTATTTAATCATTATTATTATTATTAAAGAAATCCAACAAAGGCAATGCATAGAGTGATGGAAGATTTAAAGGTGATAACACAGTATACAGCGTTAAACAACTAACAAGAGCCCCTAAATTATACTGCATTTAAAAGTAAGAATTAACATTAAATATGATGATATGGCAGTAAAGCAGATCCCATTACATTAGGTATGTCCTTCAGGGTGCTTTTGATTTTGCTCTTGTACAGGGTTTTGGGTCTCTTTCGGGTCTCAAATGCTGCTCGCTTGAAAATCATGGCACCAAGCTGAAAAACAGAACGCTCTCAATCACCTTTCATATGTTAACCAAAGAAGAGCACATCGATACTGTAAAACACTGACAAGGTAAGTAAGCTTCTTCAGAAGTGACAATATTCAGTTGTGAGCATGTAAGTATGGAAATTGCTGCATCTAACACACTGAGAAACAACAGCATTTTATCACAACAACATAGTGTGCTGATGTATCTCAAGGACAAGTTTCTTGCCTTGATGGAGGCATCTTTGTAAGCTCTCTGAGTCTCTCTGGTGGCAGGAACTTCACTGTGCTCCCCGAGTTTTGCTAATTCATTGATTTTTCCAAGGGCTCTCCGGGCAAATTCCTGAGAGCATTTGAGGACACACAAATCCAATTAACTTTTATTGCAACAATATGATGGTTGCATTTCAAAATAAACTATACAAACAAATGTAGTTAGCAAATATACTCATGGGTTAACCATAACAGCAAGACTTTCTTTTTGTACAGTCAAGTGTGAGGAATAATTTAGTGCCTTGTGCTGATTAACAGCAGGCAGGCTAAGGAAATTACATAAAGATCAACACCAAGTTACAATTAGCATTTATTACTGATTAGATCAGCCTGTGATGGATCAAATCGTGTATTTGTAGGTGTCTGACGCTGACGTATTTCACCTCCGCCTGCACCTCAGCATGGTTGTCATAGTAACACTGGCAGACGGCACAGTAGAGCGTGACAATCACTGGCAGATACTTAGCTGTCATCAGAGGGATGGACAACTCCAAACTGATGCTTGCCCACAGGAGGTACTCCAGTGCCTGAATAGGATGACAAACGGAGGCTGTGAGTATCACAAAGTATTAAAAAGACAACTACACAATTTTATTATACACTACATTCATTATATAACAATATTACACAGATTTAGTTGTGTGTTCTGCAATGTGCAGAGGCTCAATCAACTAAAACTGAAATATTGTCACTCACGATCAGTCCAAAGCCATATTCCAACATTCAGTTAGACATTCAGTCTCTGTCACACATGATTTTCTCACCATCCTTCATGTTTTTCTTTTCCTTTAGGGCAGGGGTGTCAAACTCATTTCACATCGTGGGCCAGATACAGCCCACTTTGACTGAGTAAAAAAACCTTGGAACTTGTTTGCTTATCTACTGCTTACTTTGATGTACGGTAGTATGAATGGCAATAGATGAGGTCTTTATCATTAGGAAAAGTTGTAAAACTTACAAATCACAGTTAAAAACCCCAAATGTATGCCTTTCTTCACATTTTTTAAAGTAACCCAGTGGGCCAGATCGGAGACCTTGACAGGCTGATTTTGGCCTGTGAGCCTTATGTTTGACATCCCTGCTTTAGGAATGAGTAGCAGAAGTGAAAAGTGGAAGGAATGAACAGTACCTGCGCGCTGCACTGCATAGTCATCAAATAACGGCAGACATTGTAAATGTGTAATGAACCTGGATGACAAGAGATAGAAATACATTACTACTTAATACAATAGTAGATAAACAGTTTATGAACAGTTCATTTTCATTTTTATCTTCAAATTTTGAGAGCTCAATTTGTTCTACCAAGATTACTCCTAGATAGAAATATTACACTGAATTATACAAGTTCTTCTAATATACCATTATATATCTGCCAGTAGAGGTGCTCGTGTTGCTGAAATGCCTGCATCATGGTCCTCATGAAGTTCAGCACACACAGCAGTTTACAGAGCCCCTTTTGGCTGAGGAAACTGTGCTGTCTCTCCAGCTCAAATATACACAGGGCACAGCCCTGCATGGCACGTACCTGTACACACACAGACACAAACACACACATATAGAGGACAGACACACAGGCACAGACACATGGATACATACAGAATAATAGCAGATTTTTAACAAAAATGTCTCAAAATGTCAATGACCTCAGCCAATGTAGTAAACTTTCTTTGTAGCATAAAACAACAAAGCAAATCCTGGAAACAGTTATTACACAGCATTTTAAACAGAGATACACAGGACACACACAGTCACACAGTGATGTGTACCTTACCTTCATGGCAAAGGTATTTTGGTCTGTATCAAGCCCTTCGGGGAAGAAGCAGGCCATAAACTGATCCACATTTGTGATGTCAGTTATTTTCACTGAGCTGAACTGTGACAGGTGGAGACTGTAGCCCTGCCTTAGAGCCAGCTGGTACAGCTTGAAGAAGCAGAGGGAAGAAAAATAACACTGTGAATGTGTTAACATGTAATTAATGTGCAGAAGACAACATATCCAAAGGCTTCTTATAGTTTTACTGCAGCAAAACCAAGATTGCAAATACTGAGAACAAAACCAATGAGTCAAGTAGTAAAACAAAGAATTCACAGCAACCAAGACTGACAATAGTGACTGAAAAAACTGTGTAATTCACAGACTGAATTAATATTTAATCAAAGAAAAAGTCTGTGGTAACCAAATATTAGTAGGTATTCTAATTTGGGGGATTTGTCAAATACCTTTATTCCAAAGAGAAAATCTGCAATCTGCAACATGTGCTCCTGGTACAGTTTCAAAGGCAGTCGATGTTTGAACTTTTTCCATATCTCCACCAGAATTTTAATCCTTTGAAAATGAATTCAGAAAAGCATAGCTTTAAAATAAATAACATAAATAAGCAAACATCAACACCAAGAGATCTCTAACTGGTTCAAGATCTATGTAATATAAAATATGTTCAAATCTGTTTTTTGGGATACTGACAAACTGAACATTGTTATTTTCATTTTCTACATGATCTTTTTAAAAAGTTAAACAAGGACATTCAGTGGATGCATGATAGGAAAAAGCCTTTAATTATGCTGTGATGTACGCTGACGACTCGGTTGTTCTGGTTTTTTTAATGATGCTGGCTAGCAGCAACTGTCACCGTCTGCTAAAAAGTATAGCTTGTAGTATGATATTGAAGTTATTATTAAAGGCCACTGCAATCCTGCTTTATACAGCAGATTTGTGCTGCAGTTATAGCAAAGCAAAAAATGTAAATGGTGCACTCAAGACTTTTCTTAAGTACAAGCCAAGTGTTTGAGACTAGTAACTGGACCTTATCAAACATTTCTATATATTATGGTCAAATCATAAACACCATAATAATTATAAGCTACACAGTGTATCATTTATTATTAGCTAAATACATTTTAGTGGAACAATGACGGTAATAAAAACTGCACGCAACTAGCTATAAAAAATTATTTAAATAAGCCTGATTTAATAAGCTAAAGTTTCCTATAATAAGTCAATATGAGCTTTATAAGCTAGCGCTGACTTGGCTTTTTAGCATCTCACCCTTTAGCATAAGTGCTGTTGTCCTGGTTGTTCGACGAAGCCACTTGTTTCATCAGCGTTATAAACGAGTTAATCTCTCGCTTAAAAGCTGAAAGTACTGGGTTTCTTTGATCAAGTTCCCCATAATACGACGCTGGTAAATCCATTTCTGCGTCCACAAAAACGATTCTGACCGGCTAGCACATTTATGTTGGTTATTTCCAACTACACCAACAAAACTGCTCCAGTCTAAGAGACCGGGTCAAGACACATCACCATGGTAACAAGCGACGCTAATAGGGCCGACTTTGTGGATACTGTATTTCCTGTCTTTTTCTTTGTTTCTTTTCTATTCTTTTGTTGGGTTTAAGAATGAAAACTAGTTTCCCGTGTTTAGAGAAAATTTATAGTTTGCGATAAACAACGTTAACTACGTTTTGGAGAGCCTTCCTGAAAGGCCTTAAGGGCAAGAAAAGAAAAAGGTTCAGCACATATTTCTGCTGAGCTTTTGGACAGTTTTAAAAAGGTAACAGTTTAACAAAGACTGATTAAACATATAATGTCTTACACTTACAAAGCTTTCATTTATAATCAGTAAAATACAAATCCTTTAATTCACTACAGTCAGGGCTTTTACTGCTACCTGCCATGCTCATGCTTTAGTACCTTGGAGTGTCTTTATTGCTTTCTTACTTGAATTCATTTCGACCTGTCCATAAACCTAACATTTATATTGGGCATTTATATTAATGATAGATAAAAACTCCAGCTTTGATTGGACTGGTCTTTGGCTCAGGCACAGTGCCTGGGCTTGGTCTGCAAAGCACTAAAACTAAAATTCATGGTGTGATGGTTTAAAAGCCTCTGATGAACCTCTATGCTTGCAGATATAATTTAATGCATATAGCCTTCAGTACTAACATGACTGGGAGGATGAAAGAAATTTATTGGCACAACCAACGCAAAGGACTTCATATTTTACATCTGAGCTCATAGCAAAATGATACGCACAGTGTCATCTAATGCTGGCCCTTACAAACTCATCAGTTCCCATTCAGTCACACATCCACTCCACACACAAACCTAAAGCTCCTGGCACTCAGAGCACAGCAGGCTAATGCTCTGGCAGCTATTCCTCAAACAAACCCTCACAAAAACACACACACAGGCACACACACACACCAGACAGGAGCATTTCCTGGGGAATGAGCATGGAGGATGTCAGCAGTATTCCTAGCCAGTGTCACCTCATGACCGAGAGAACAGGGACAGATAGAGGGTAATGGCGAGGGAGAGAACCAGTCTCAGTCAGACAGATAAAACAATGGGAATGATGGAGGGATAAACAGTTGACATCATTGTTCCAGAAAGATCAGGCTGTTGGCAGAGTCCATATGCAAGTGTGCATGGGAGGTCACGGAGGGGAGGGGTGCAGAGGTGGTGAACAGAGGCAAACGTCTGGCTTGGATGGGAGGGAAAGACCTATAAATTCAGTGCAGGAGAGCACAGCAGCACCCATCTCAAACCAAATCAGACCTAGTCAGCCTGCCTCGTCATTTATTACAACCCTCTTGGAATCTCACCATGGATATCCCCATCCAGTATCCCTGGTACCGCCGGGCGTTCCCACATCGATTTCCTGACCTCTCCATGGCAGAACCTCTCACTGACTGGCCAATGATGTGGCCATTCTCCTGGTCCTTCCCCTGGATGCGCCCTTTGTTTATGCGCTGGTTCAACTGGCCCGACAATGGACACAGTGAGGTAGAGTACAATTCACCTGTGTAATTAAGATTATTACATCATGGGAGTTACGCACAAATGTCAGTGTTTTATGGCCTTTCGTTTGTGAGGTTTGGATTAATGATCATCAGAGTCAAAACCTCCACTGATATCATGAGTGTTTGTGTAATTTTCAAGCGCCAGTCCTTCATTAAACAAGATTTGTATGGGTTTTTATCCCAGGCTGACTCACTGCTCTACTGTATGTATTTAGATGCGCTTGGAAAAGGATCGCTATGTCATTTATGTGGATGTGAAGCATTTCTCCCCTGATGAGCTGTCTGTCAGCGTTAGTGATGATTTCATCACAATACACGGCAAACATGAAGACAGACAGGTCAGAGGAGCAAATTTAACACCAGAAAATAAATTTAGCCACACTGTTCTGATGCACTCACTAATTCTGTTTCAGGATGACCACGGCTATGTGTCAAGAGAGTTTCTGAGGAAGTACAGGCTTCCTTCTGGTGTGACAGGTGCCGAGGTCACCTCCAGTCTGTCGTGTGATGGTGTACTGACAATCACAGCACCTCGGTCATCTCCTGGGCCGGAGCGCAATATTCCTATTTCCTGTGAAGATGGAACACAGAAACAGAAAATGTAGAGCAGAGCCTGACGCACCAGATGCTGCTTTACTATTAACCCTTTATATTGTCTGTTATGTTGGCAGTGCCGTACATATATATAGAGTAGTCATACAGTTCTAGATGTCTAAAACTGCTGTCTAATAAAACAGTTCCTAACCCCTAACTCACTATTATTGTGTTGTCTCAGCAAAACTGTAGAGCTCGTGTAACAGTCTGTTTTTGACAGTACAGCTTTTATAGACACATCATGGTGAGCTCCAGGATATTGAGCTCCCAAGAGTTCATTTCCCTATCATAAACAAACAGATTAGGCTTCTACGCAAAATACAGTCGCACATGTAACAGTATTTCCAAAGACAAATTCATAACCACCATCAGGCATTTAGAGAAACACAATGTCTCTAGCAACCTTTCACTTCAGTGGCAAATGTGCTAGTTAGTAACTGAACCCAGACAAGCTTGCAGCATCTACTGGTTCTGCAGAGAAATACTAATGCTAATCAGTACTATCCACTAAAGGTGCTAACACACTAACCAAAGATGTATTTTCAGCACACAGAGCAGAGTGAGCGGGTATTAGTAAGATGCCAAATGTGCTGTGTTCATTCTGTGGGAAGAGCATTGGTTTCTGCATGTGTGAGGAGGAGGTTTTCTGGAGGCACAGACAGCCCGTTTGTTTTTAGTAAAAAAAAAAAAAAAAACTAAATAAATAAACAGAAGAAGAAGAAAAAGCCACCAAAGGCCTCGGGACCAGGCGTGTTGAGAGAATGAGAGCGAATGAGCAAGAAGCAAAGTTGTGGACAAAGGAGAGAAACAGACAGGGCCCCTTTTTCACTGGGGAACATGACCTCTGAGCTGCTAAGGGTAGTATGATTGTGAATGTACGTGAGCGCATTTATACTTGTAGATGCAAGAATTACAACTCTATTATCTTTGTTAAGCCTTTTGGAATATTAACACTGACAACAGCAAATAGAATAAATATGGAGATTCAAGTTCACAGGTCAGTTGTGTGTGTTTTTGAATCATTGTCAAGGTTTTCTTCTGTCTATTGTGTTGCTGTTCTCAAATGGATTTCAAATAACAACGTACACTCACTGACCACTTAATGAGGTGTTCAGTAGCTCATTAACATCAATATTGATCAGCCAATCAAATGGCAAGAACTCATGGTCATGGTCCAGATGATCTGCTGAAGTTTCAGAGTAGGAATCAGAAGCAGATGAACTACAGCTCGGACAGTCTCGGTCGTTGTGTCCTTGGGCAAGACAGTCAAAGGAGCTAGCAAAGAAAAGGGCAAGACACTTCACCCATTGCCTACTGGTGGTGATCAGAGGGCCCGGTGGCGCCAGTGTCCGGCAGCCTCGCCTCTGTCAGTGCGCCCCAGGGTGGCTGCAATGTAGCTTGCCATCATCAGTGTGTGAATGTGTGTGCGAATGGGTGGATGACTGGATGTGTAACGCGCTTTGGGGTCCTTAGGGACTAGTAAAGCGCTATACAAATACAGGCCATTACAGCAGCAAAAAACCATCTTAGGTCCTTCACCTGTCAATTACAATTCACACGGGCTTGACAAAATTGGACAATAGTAAAAGAAGGGAAGATAGAAGGAAAAATGTTGCCTGATCTAATAGTCTTGATTTCTGCTGCCACTTTATTAGGTACACTGTATAAAGGTGTAGCTAAAATAATAGGATCAGAATTGGACGTAAATAATGTGAAAGCATGGATTCATCCTCCCATGTATCTGTTCAGGCTGGTGGTGCAACAATTTGGGGGATGCTGTGGCACAGCCTTCTGAGTACTGTTAATGATCATTTCCATCCCTTTATGACAGCGTACCCATCTTATGCTTCCAGAAGAATAACACACCATGTGGCAAACTTAAATAATCTAAAACCTGTTACCTGAACATAACAATAGGTTTGCTGTATTCAAATAGCTTCCACGGTCACCAGATCTCAATGGGATGTGGTGAAACTGGAGATTTACGTCATGAATGTGCAGCCAATATGCAGCAAGTGTTTGATGATATCATGTGAAAATCTATGAAGAATGTTTTCAGTAACTAGTTGAACCTGTGCAATGCAACAATGCAGCAAAAGGTGTGGGTGGTTATGTACAGTGAATGTAGAGCTGCTGATATTTTTTTTCAGACACTTTATTAATATTGGGGAACTGGAGCTTTCAGGAATGAAGGTTTAGCCTGGTCTCAAAAAGCACCAGATAAATGCTTTGCGGCACGCTTTATTTATTAAACAATGCAAAAGTCCCCTCTAATAAATTGAAATTTCTTACTTCATTGCTGCTTTTAAAACAGTTTTTACAATCTGACATTGCCTGTTGATAAGACACACAATGCTCACGAAAAAGGAATAGCTTTAGCAGAGAAAAGGAGGGCACAAGTCGTGTTTCCTTCATTTATAAGTGCACGATGGACAACTTTTATTATTATCTGCAAAACCTCAGATAAACAGGACTATTACAGACAATGTACATCGTTCATCTGTCAACAAAGCAAGGCTGCAGAACTGCTGCTGATGTCTAAGTCATCAAAAGACAGCAAGACCATCAATGGAGACATGAAATTATAATAATACGTTTTCATAATAATACATGCACTCATTGCTGTGCAGAGTTTATGCATACTTCTATTGGCGCTCATGTTATTAGATGCATAAAAATAAGCTGTCAGCAGTGTGCATCATATCAAGTTAAGTTTCTTGGGAAGTGTATTATCAGTAACAGTAGAAGTCCCATTTCTGGAAAAAAGAAGATACACTGAATCAGGAGAAAGCACTAAATAATTCATATGCACATGTGCATGTGTGTGTGTTCACCTACAGTAGTTTTGACTTCAGTTGTGGCTGGCATGAGAGCATGTGTCTCCTCCACTATGCTACTGGGGAAGTGGCCAATGCGAGCTTCCTGTTGTCCATAATAGGCGTCTTGTACCTGGGAAAAGATGACGCAGATAACATTTGTTTGATAACATTCAAAACTTTTAAATGTTTTGCTGCACATAGAAGCCCAACCCTGTGACGTTTTCACAGTTTTATGGTTAGAGCCGTGCCCAGGCCATTTATAGCCACATAAATATGTCACTTTTACTCACGCTGCCAGCCCAGAAGAGATTCCCTCTGTCTTTTAGCATTGCATAAACATAGACAAGCTGCCCCTGCCTGATGGGGATGAACCTGCAGTCTCCAGGGTAGTAGTCCTGCAGTGCACGAGCTATCAAGATAGGATCTGTGCAGGGACAAATGTCATGAGCTATAATGTGATATGAATCTGACCTTTTTCAGAAGCAAAATAAACAGTTGATACTTACAGCTGCACTCGGAGTCAGCACAGAGTTTCTTGTCAGAGAGTTTAGGCATTTGCTTTCCAGCTTCAGAGGTTCCCAACACAAGGCACAGGGAAAGAGCAAACCACAGTTCAAAAGCCATGTCTTTACGTCAATGTACCTACTGATGGAAAAGCCTTTTTTCTCAGCTAGGAAGGTCCTGGTTTTCAGTCTTCTTGTAAGTCTGTTTGGCCACTCTTAAAATGAAGGTGCAGCAGAAGCAGTCCCCCTTTTCTTCTTCCCCCAACCCTTCGTCACATGAGCACACACAGAGCTCCTTTGAAATTCTTCAAGCAGGTAAACAGGATGGGGCAAAGGGGGTGGGGAGTAGACAGACCCCTGCTTGTGTCCTAGACTTTTCCATCTGTCACGTAATGCAAACCCCTCCCCAGTGAATTCCTCAGAATTAATCACTTCCTTGTTTAACTGCCTGATATCCAATCAGCAGCTATTAATTTTACCCCACTTTTCCAGTATTCCCTGTTCTTTCTGTCAGTTCCTCTTGCTTTTTCCCTCGCTTCACCTTTGGAACTCAGTAGGTGGAGCCATGTGCTTTATTTACATAATGAACGTTTCCACTACCAAGGAAACCAGCTGAGCTTCTCTTGCGCAAACACTCCCAAACAGGAAGACTGTACCTGTTAGCCTGCGGTGGCAGAGAGCTGTCAGGTAAGACCTAACTTTTCATTTTTTAAAGTCTGGTGGAAAATAGGTTAACACAGATTCTGTCAACTGTCGTACTGGCAATAAAGTAGGACTGAGTTTATTACTTGTATTCTAAAGGACTTTAAATAGCATGTCAGCACAGATTCATGATACCAATAGGTAATAACAGGTGAGAAGCAAATAGTGACAGACTTGATAGTTGAGGCTGGTGAGACTCCAGATACTAAAACTGCTACACTGTGACTGAAATTCAGCTTATACGGTCTAAATTTGAATAAAAATAATCTGGGAATTATTCATGATAGCATTGAATTATCAAACAAAAAGATTTTTTTTAAGACTAAGCCTATGCTGATTGTTTATTGATAATTTGACCTAAACATATTACTTAAGCGTCTACTTGAAATACTCAACACATTGTAGTGATCACAAGAAGTAGCAGTTCACAGTGCCTCTGGAATTTAGGGAGGAGACAATGATAATAGTGCAGGTTGGTGTTTCGGTCAGAGCTACAAAAGCACCTGTCAGACAAAAGAACTCCTTTTAGGCCATGCTGGATTATATTACCAGAAAGCAGCTAGTGTGATATTCACACAAGGTTTTCTGTGTTATTAAATGTCTTTTCTTGCCCAAAGATGTCCCGGTAAAGACTTGAAGAGAAGAAGAAGTGAATGATATAAGCACTGGGACCACACACTGAAGCACAAGGAATACTCTGGATAACAAAAGTGGAACCCAAACACCTGTAAACTAAACCATCAGGAAACAGAAAGTCCTGACTCTCTATCCATTCTCTTCCACTGAAGAGAGACTGAATCACAACTGCAGGACTTGGGATAGTACTTTTTAACTGATCCTTCAACTGTCAGCTATGTTCAGCAAAAACAGTCTTCCCTCACCCAGCTTGGAGGACTCGTTCTTTCCTCTCTCTCCCTCCTCCTCAGTCTCTCTCTCCTTTGGTCTCCCCTCATCCACATCCTCCCCTGGAAGCACTGACAGTGGAGGAGGCATAGAGACGGACCTGATTCTAGCTGCTGAGCTGGGACGGGCTTTACTGGAGAAGAATGAGGAGCTGGCAGCCTCTCTGGAGCAGAGGGAAAGGGAGCTGGAGGTAAGATTAAAGCTACTGTTGTCCCTTAATCTCCCAAAAGGTCATATTTGATAAACACATTTTTACACAAAATGAAATGGGAAGTAAGATTAGCTAAAATTACAAGCAAATCGCTGCATGAAGGCAAAACTTTTGGATGTGGCCTGCAGTGCACAGTCATTCCACCTGTGGGCAGAAGATTTGTCAGATTGCAAGGAGACAATGCAACCATGATAACCACCCCCACTGGAGGAGAAAGAGCTCCAACAATGTATAACCGCAGACTGAAACTTATGCAATGCCTTTAGCTGGCAAATCACTTCACTGTGCTGAAGGAGATTATATCTGGTTAGCTGTTAGGAAGGTAATGCTAACTTTGTCTCATAAAGCTGCCATAGATCACCAAGGGACTTGCAGACATACCATTACTGACTACTGCTTTACAAAATAACTTAAGTTACACAGTGTGAAAATGCTATCAGAAATAGATATATAGATAGATTTTATCTATAAAGTATTTAAACCATTTGTTTTTTCTCTACAGAGATAACAATACATTTAACATTAAATGTGGCAGTACAAAGCCAATTCTATCATTCTAGTTCTAGTATGCAGTCTAATCATTAAAAATGGTCAAAGCATGTGACATCAGCTATGTTCCCCAGTTACCCAGTTATGTAATCATATGTTATACAGCCACAACAATCTTTTATGCTGGCTATGATAATGATCCATGATTACATGGCAGCCATCATGTCATGATTTCTTAATCCACTGTTATTCCAAATAGTGTTTCTGCAACTGCATTAGAGGTGAGCCAATCAATTTAAATATCGTTAGTATCGATACCAATGCCGCTACTGGTATCGGACTGATACTAGAGTGATGAGATCAATGTATTGTTTCAATCCTCTAAGTTCAGTATGTAGCCTTCTCAATTGGGTTAAACATATTTTTGGAAAATATACCCCAAACATGCACTATGAAAAATGGCTCGACCTTTTTGTGTTGACTGTAGTGTCTGTTTTATTTATAGCCTATAGCACATTCAAACAGAAGCTGACCCAAAGTGCTTTAGAGACAGGCAAATTTACATCCCAGGGCTCTAAAAAGGTTTTAAAATACATGCAAAGCTGAAAGGTGTGTTTTATTGTGTCAACAAATAATTGTGCAAAGTAAAAATCACAGTGATTTAAGTGGTCATTAAAATGTGTTCAGAATTAAAGTATCATTATCAGTATCAACAATACTGGCCTTTTATTTACTTGGTATCAGATGATACCAAAAATTTTCAGTATTTTGCACTACAGTGCAATGTATGGGACATAACACGGTGCTTCCAATTCCTGATTAGTATGCATTACTTAACCTGCATGCGCTCCAACTTAATGTGAGTTAAGTACATTTAACTTTAGCAGAAGTCATTTAAGTAGATCTTCACCATATATCAGGTTCATGTGGCTTTGTGTTAGTTATACTGTTTTTACAGCTTTTAATTTTTTAATTAATAAATCTGCCCCCAGTGCAGAATCGACAAGCACAGAGAAATAAACAGAAAAAGTAACCTTTTTTTTCTGAGTCTTCCTACTGAGCATGCTGGCTTGCTGTCACACTGCCATGTCCAGGACTGGAGTCACCATTCATGTCATCAGGAAAGTCTGGTTATTGAAGCTGGTTCATATGGTGTTTAATACAGGCTTTACAGCAGGAGAAGCACGTTCTTCAGAGGAAGCTGGAGATGAATGAACTGGCATTTGGACAGAGGGAGGCGGAGCTAACTGCTGATTTAACAACTCTGCGGGCTGAGGTGGAGAAACATCAGAGTCAAGGGCGTGACCGGCGAAAAGATGAAAGCGAGCAGATGATCCAGTTAGCCAACCATAACCAGAGACTGGTTGAGCAGCTGGCAGAGGTTTGTTTTAATGGATCAGTGAATCTCTGCACGTATGTTGCATCACAGGAAAATGCAGACTAACAGGTTTAGATAGTCCTACCTTTATTATTCACACCTTTCTCACCTTCCCATTTCTAACACATCTAGGCTGTGACACTGGAGCATTCCTTGAGGACTGAACTGCGTACCATCAGAGACGAAATGGAAGAATCATCTTTTAGCCGAAACATCAGCTTTACACAGTTAGAGAACATACAAGCAGAGGTATACCCACAAGTAAAACATTGCATACACAAAAGTTTGGGTTTTATTATGAACAGCACACCCAAAAAGCACAAAGAGCAGCAGTAGCACCACATGAAAGTACAAGACCTGCTTTTTAGAGGCAAGTCTTAAGTTCTCAATGAAAAGTCCACAAACCACATCTTTTGGGAATCAATTTTCATATAGCATAAGCTAAAATCAAATCTCATGTTCGGATAACTTGAGTCTGGCTTGAGACTAAATACCAGCAAAAATAAGTAAAATTCTTAACGTCATGGAGGTCTGACAAGTCTTCAGTCACAATAATTTGTGTCATCATGAAGCATGAAAATCTGGTTACAAAATAACTGTAACGAGAAATAGTGGAAAATTCTTAAAATGTTCAGTTGAGGTGTAAACCAACAATCAGGATGCTGATTTTATAAACCTCTTAACAACCTCGAGGTGTGCAGGAAGTAGGCTTTGGGGTGACATCTGGGCTGACAATGCTAAAACAGCTTTTATATTGCTAGTCTATCCTTTTGATCCTCCTCATACAGAACAGAGTTTTGCAAGAGCGGCGGTCACACATGGAGACGCAACTAAACGCTTCAGGGGAAGACAACCAAAGACTTCGCATGGAGCGAGAGCGCTTGAGAGACAGACTGTCAGAAATGCAGATGAAACTCAAAGAGAAAGAAGCAGAGGTGAGCAATAAATCGGAGGCATATTTAGGATCAGCCGTGGTGTTGACCGATGAAACTTGAGGCAGTTATATCTGTTGCAGGAAGCATTGCTCATCACAAGCAGAGGTCACTAACACGTTCTCGATCTGTGTGTGTGTGCATGTGCTTGGTGTGTAGATAGAGCAGGAGCAGGGAGTGGTGTTTGAGTTGCGCACCTTGAATCGCTCTCTACAGCAAAAAGCTCTGAACCTGGATGAAGACAGCATCCTGGACAGGACACAAGCAGAACCTTTGTCTCTGCTGAGTGAAATTCAGCAGTCACAGGTGCCCACAGAAACACACCCACCGAGTAACTCCACAGTCTAAGTCAGTGTGTACCGATCCTGTGTACCAAAGCTTGTCTGGATAATCCTTGTACTCGTGTATGTTTACATGATCCATCCGATATTTTGTCTCTTGAGCACAGAGATTTCTCCAGATTCACTGAACCTTTTTATTGTTCTGTAGCTGATGATGTCTTCACTTTTTTACACTGACAAACATTATTATGAATTTGTAGGCACAGTATTTTTAAGATTAGTGATCGCTGCCTTTGTTTGCTCCTGAGAAACTTTGTCTCTCTTAAACATTCTCTTTTAAACCCAGTCTTTTACTGACCTGTTTGCCAGTTAACCCAATTAGTTGCAAAATGTTCCCCTAGCTGTTTCATCTTAGTGCATATTACTTTTTCAGCCGTCTATTGTGAGCGTCCAAACGTTTTTGAGAAAACACTGACATAAATTGGTACAGATCAGCTTATGTATTCAGCATAAGTGAATGTGGTGATCTAGGCAGGTAAAAAGAGTCCTTTTCCACACTGAAAAAATCTCACTTTTTCAAATTTACCTTGCTTATACATTAATCTCGCCCCATAGTGCACAAGTCTGCCAAAAAAAAGCAACATATTTCAAATCAAATCAAATCAAATCACTTTTATTGTCACATCACATGTGCAGGTACATTGGTACAGCACATGTGAGTGAAATTCTTGTGTGCGAGCTTCACAAGCAACATATTTGCAGGACAAATTTGCATTAACAGCACAAATGCCTAGTTAAGTGTTGGACCCCTCTGACTTTTTGTGATGCGGTCTATATCTCTCCTGTTACAGGCTAAAGAGGCTCTTCTAGCTCACTCCACAGTGCTGCAAGCGAGAGATGAAGAAATACAGGCACTCAAAGAAGAGGTCAGTGAAACTGTATGCTGTATATACTGTCCTTCCTGCTGCAGGAATAGAAAAAGACATATTTGCTAGCAAAAACAGACAATATAGGAAGCACCAACTGAAGTCACGGAATTACATTTTTTAATAATGTGCTATAGAATCAGTATGTTTAAGTTTGGATTAATTTAATCAACATGTGTTGATTAAATTGTGAAGACGTGTGTGATGTGACGATTTGAGGCTAACTGTGTGACATTATGTAGCCTATTTTCCTCTGCTCAGCTTTTATCTGTGCACGACTTTATAATATCACATTTATTTTGGAGGCCAATCATGCTCTAATATGCAATGTTCTGATCAATGTGAGTGATGTATTTACACATCAGCTTGAAGGTCAGAGAGAAGAACTCGAGTCTCTGAGGGAGGAAATTCAGCTGTGTGGCCGCAGTTCAGGAAAGCCAAGCTACAGGTAATGCTATGCTGATTAGTTTAGTTTCTCTCAATTTTATTTAGATTTTATTAAGATAAATCTGTTTTTAAAATTTCCATTTAGGTCCTTAGAAAGTGAACTGGTCACGGTGCGTCAAGAGAAAGAATCACTAACTCAGCAGCTTCTCAACACCATCAAGCAGAAGGTGGCGCTGTCTCAAGAGCTGGAGGCCTGGCAGGTTTGTGTACCTGGATACAAAACTACAGATAGTCTCTTTTGGAAAAATGGACTTTAAAAAATTATTATACTTTTGTAATCTGAACCTTTGCTCTTGCTCCAGGAGGACATGCGGGTGGTGATAAATCAACAGGTTCAGCAAAGGGAGGAGGAGAGGAAGAAAGAGAGCCAGCAAGAAAAAGGTGCTACAGGACTCCAAAGAAGCAGGTCTTTGAGAATGAAGGGAGAAGGATCGAAAGGATTCCTCTCTTTTTTCAAAGATATATAACAGCAAGAAGACTCCCAGGTTTAAATGGACACTATCCGCAATTTTCTTTGCCACTCTGTCTTTTGTGGCCAGATAATGGACACTAATGCCATATTAGCAACAAGTGACTTGTTTACATACCTATATTTGTATATATGTATATACAGTGTATTATTAATTTCATACTTTATATTAAAAAAAGTCTCAACTGAGTGTTGGATATGTTATCATCTTTTCTTGCATTATTTAAGTCACTTCTAGTTTTTTAACCTCCTAAAACCTGGCGTCCACATATGTGGACATTACATTTTGAGTTATTTAGACCAAAGTACTCAAGTTTGCTCTACAAGAGCCTGATATCCACTTACGAGGACATTATACTGCTACTGTTTTAAACGAATATGCTCATATGTGGCTCTCATTTTTCTTAGAAACAAAAATCAGATAAAAAGAAAATCTGGTAATTCTTTGTTTTTTGATCAAAGAGAAATTAAAAATGCATGCCGTGGAAGAGTTCAGATTTTAGGAGGTTAAAGACAAAAGTTTACAAGATTTTTAGAGGCAGCATGCAAATACGAAGGAATAAGAGATTAAAAAGGACCTATCATTTTCAGGTCTTATCCTTTACTATGTTACACATTATTCAAAGTTCAAAAACAATCTTTCTTTTTTTTTAAAAATCTCACACACATTAGACCTCAGTGCAATCTCACAACACACCCTCTCCTTTGAACCCACTTTTCTTATGACTAGCTGCCCCTGACAAACAGAAAGTGGGATTTCTGTGCTGTCAGCATGAGCTGTGTGCCTTCCATAAGCATATTAAAAGGTATTCACTCTCATAGCCATCATCTAAAATCAAAAATTTTTTTTTCCAAAATGTAGCGTCTTATTGCAGTCTGAGGTCTGGGCTTCCATCTATCTTTGTGCAGATTTCGATATTTGAAACTTTGGCCTTGTTTAAAAGGGACATCCATCACTAAAACAGTATATCAGGGAAAATCATCACAACTTAATGGAAGTTAATGGGAAGGAATATTTGCATGTTCATCCGAGAGTGGAAAATGTTCAGTTTAAGCAAATTCTTAATGAATCTGCAATCTTCAGCTCTAACGATTTAAGTGAAAATTATCTGGCTTTCGTGTTTGTGTCTCGCTGAGCTATGAATAAGCAACAGGACGTAAAAAGGTACCTTGGTGCTGAGTTTAGGTTCAGACTTACTGTAGGTAGGTAACTGTCTGTTGAAATGCATGACATACAGTCAAAAGAAACAATGACAGAAATAACATCTTTAATAAATTAAGTTCAAAAAGATAGCCATCCCTTCCATTTCTCTCCGTGCTGACTTTATATAATGAATAAATCATATATATGCAACATTTCCCAGTTGAAGAGGACCGTAAATGCTCGAACGCAGTACGAGTAGTGCAGGTTGCATACAGTCAGTGTTACCAAATGCCTTCATCTATACAGTATACATACAGCGCAGTCCTCAATCAGCAGACTTAGTGCATAGCCTCTTTCTCAACCCTCAGAACCTTAAATTACTATATACAGTATGAAGCAGCACCTTTCTCTGTGTGGATTGCACACTATATAATATGCCGGCACACACAAAAAAAAGATCTGTACCCAATCAAACAAACATTCACCTACTCATGCATATTTTTTAAGGTTCTTACTGACGTTTTAACGTGAGCCGACCCATTTACTCATACTCAGATTCAGCATTTGCTGCCATTTGGAATGCTCCTCTAAGCATTTGCTTGTGTGCAGATTAGCCCACACAGACTGTCTTTTTATGAGTAAGCGCTGAACTTTTTCAGTTTAATGCTTTCTCTGTTTGTGTCGTGGTTAGAGAGCACCAAATGATTGTACATTCAAGCTAAAATTTAATATTTTGGCAGGTGAGTTGATGAGCTTTGTTTTTAATTGATACTGGCGCTGATGTAAACCAATCACTGCCTGTTAGATGGGCAAACATCTTTTGTAAGCATCTTGTGTAAATAGTCTATTAAAATTATAGCTGATGAGCAAAAACATTAAAAAGACTATTAAAAAGACTATTGTTCAAGCAACTTAAAGAAGTCCAGACGCTTTTCTTTGCAAGCTCCTTTGACTACGATGACCTGGATGACTGAGAACCTTCACAGACTATTGTTCTTTAATACAGTGTACTTACATTAGATTTGTTTAGGACTACCCATAATATAAAATCTTTATTTTAACTTTACAGTACTGTATGCCTTTTATCCTTTTGGTTCAGTGTCCAGGAGTGGATGCACAGTTTGGGTTTAGGGAGACTGAAACATTTGTGTAGTCACATACTGTACTGGAGCCCTCGAGGTGCTCATCCACTCCTCTTAGTGCAATCCTCTTGTTGTCACTCAGTCAGACAAACATCGCCTCCACTTAGAGAGGTAGGTGACTTAAAGAAACAGGAAGTGTTTTGGTGAGGCTGAAAAAGTCTCGCAAGGTCACGTTGTTAATAAAGCCTCTGAAACGTGCCTCTGGACGGATATCCAGTGTAATTCCAGCGGGGGTTAGCTGATGATTAACCCACGTTGATGCCTAGACCCACTTGCAGTTTATCACCTTTATGATTTACAAAGGCACCCATAATCAGTGTGGCTGGGAGAGGAGTCAGGCGCTTCTCCAACACACCTCCTATTATGCACCGGCTGTTTATCATACCTGGATACACACACAGAAACAAAAGACTCATGCATTGTGCTTTCATAATAGTTAACATCGCGCATGACTCAAAGTTACATCAGGAAGGAAATTTACCTCGAAAGACCATATTAGCCTCTGGGAGCTCCATCTGATACCCAAAGGATGTTGTGGTCTCCTGTGTCCTGGTACTGGCTTCAAACTCCACCCCTACTTGTATCTGCAAAGCACAAACATACATTAATGATATGCCACTAAGGTAAATGGTGTTTACGCTTATGGGTGGCACTGGCTGTACCTGTTTGTTGGCTCTGTGATAGTAGCTTGCATGGGCACCTCCTTTGCCAGCATTCAATGTTGCCACCCAGTTTGGTCCTGCATGAAGAGACAGAACACCCACCCACCACCCCCACTGTGGCTAAATCAAAGCTCAACAAAGGAGAGATGATACCAGCTCTGTTAAAATATGATATGCGAGGCAGATTCATGAGTAAAAACAACATCTCACTTGAGTACTGTCCAGCCAGAGTAAGGATGCCTCCTTCTTCTGCTCGTCCCCGATGGTAGACCAGCTCTCCTCCTAACACCAGCCCAGAAGACACGCTCTGCAGGAAATGCGCCACCAGGATAACTGTCCAGGAAAAACACACAGCAAGATAACAGAAAAATCATCAAGGGGCACATCAGTGAAAAATACCAGAAAAAGTGTTAAATTATTTTCTTCTCATGTTGCGGGATAACAAAGAAAAGCCAACATCCACCCATCCATCTATTTCCTGCCACTCTTTCAGGTCCATGTGCAGCTTTCCTTTCTTTTTTCTTTTTTTTTTTTGTTGCCTGTCCCGTTTGGCTCTTTTGCCATCAGAATTATTGTCTAAAGGCGAAGAAAGATGCCCAACGGATTTACTTTACAAAATGGACCATCCCAGCCTTGCCGTAATGGTCTATTTGATTCACCTTTTATTGTTTATTTTATTTTATTTTCACTTGCTGAATACGGGACAGACTTGATTGGGGGAAAGAAAGGGGAGAAAGAAGGAGGGAAAGAAAAACAGCTGAGAAGAGGGACGGGGAAAAAGGGCAAAAAACAAAAACCAACAGAATAAACAGAAAAAAAACCACATATATCGATCACCTGGATCACCTGTTGAGAAAGAAAGAAGAAAACAAGCAGAAGAAAACGAGCGTAATAGAATAAACAACATCACAATGATATATGGGAATATGACAGTAAATACTAAATATTAAACATTATTGTGCAGCACGTACGATTGACAGCGCACAGTGTGCTTAGAGGTAGGAGCAAAAAAAGGTGTAGTTTGTGTGTGTGATCAGCTGTGTGTACACCTGTGAGTATGAGCGCGTTTGTTTTTAAAAGGTTCCTTCATGTAATGATCTGCTAGAGGGTGTGGGGGGGGCACTGCCCCGTCCTCCAGGGCATGAAGCAGGTATGGAGGAGATCAAAACTCCAGACATCCAGAGGCCCCCAGAACACAAGAGACCAAGATATGGTCAGCTTGTGCAGCTTTCTACGTAGAGATGCCCAGACCTGCTTCTCCACACCACCTCCCCCACCTCTTATGTGGATACACTAAGTGATCCCAAGCAAGCTGGGACATGTCCCAATAGGACACGTCTGCAACACCTCACCTAGGAGGTGCCCTGGAGGCATCCTTTCAGATGCCTGAACCACCCTAACTGGCTCTTTTTAATGTGGAGGAGTAACTACCCTCCTGAATGACTAAGCTTCTCAGGGTGAATCGAGAAGCTGTTTGGAGGAAGCACTTCCACTGCTCCACTCTTCCTTTAGTCACCTATGACAGCTTCACTTTCATGCTCATGTCTCTCTTTTCCACAACACACTGGTGTAGCGTTCACATCACTGCAACCTCCACGCCAAGTTGTTTATCAATTTGTCACTCCACTCTCCTCTCACTCGTGAAGGGGATGCCGAGATACTTAAAACCCTCCACTTGAGGCAACGACTCATTCCCAACTCAAAGTGGGCACACATCTGTTTTCTGGCTGAGAACCATGGCCTCAGACATATAGGAGCTAATTCTCATCCAACCGCTTCACACTCAGCTGCAAACTGCCCAAGGGCAAGCTGGAGGCCACCGCCTGAAATCAATGACATGATCTGCAAAGCAGAGATAAACCTCTGAGACCTGCCAACCCTCAAACTTCCACCCCATGGCTGCTCATAGAAATTCTCGCATATTGCCAATAATCCAGACTAAGCTCTCACTACAGATGTACAAGAACTGGGGCAGCCTGTGACCAGAGGTGGAGTGTTTTTTGCTTAAGTAATGGAGCAGACTGGTCACGCACACATCTATGTGCATGCACACAGCAAGTGCAGCAAGTTTACATTAATAAAGTATAACTGAGCAAAAGTGATAAAATGTCAGACTGAATTTAGGAACATAAGTCATCTGTCTGACCATGTCCATCAGTTCCTTTAGCTTTCGCCTCCTGGGATGTATTTTCTCTTTTTCATGCTTAACCTGTAGGACTGTGCTCTATCTAACTTTGATGCCATGTCTCTCCCTTATTTATTCTCTGGTGAATTTGAATTCTTCTGCTATTCACAGAGTTACCGTCAGAGTTACAAACGTATCTGACAGCTCAGGCGGAGTGCAGGATTCAAATATTCCACCGTGTAAACTTGAAATCTGTGTTACAGCTGACCTGTCTATGTATTGAAGTTAGAATATAACAATGTCAACTGCCATTGTTTATTTATTTTTTCTTGTACACCATGTAATGCTACAATATTATTAAAGTCAGTATTATATACTGAAAAATTCAGACATTAATCTAAGACACTGCTGATCTTTGAGTCCTATTATTGGTAGCCATTTTCAACTACAACATCCAGATTAACCGAATCAACTTTTTGGGGTTTCCTTACCTGGATGATTGAGCATGCATCAAGACATATTAACGGTAGCATTTTGTCAGACAATATTACATCTGAGAGAAGAAGAAAAACACACTACATGAAAGTGATCTCTGGCACTGCAGAGCTGTATGAATGCACTCGCGTTCATTGCGGACCATTTTGCATATTTTGACGAAAAATGTTGAACACTGCAAATCCATCGGCTCACTTTAAAAAGTATCTCTAATGGCAGCATGGATGTTGTATTGTGACTCCCAGCAGGCTCTGGAAGGAAATCTAAATACATATTTAATGAAAGTAAGGGCACAAATAACTGTGTCCATGGACCAGATTTCCTAACACTGCATTACAACAAAGTCCTCTTTTAGGGTTAAGAAACTACTGTCAGGATTTAATGAGAGTAGCCACAGTGTCGGTTTTGTAGCTGAAAGGTGGGGACACAGCAGGTAATTTGGTCGCTGATCTTTTGGCAAATGTATTATAGAGGTTACAACACAAAATGCTGGGAAAATATTTAAACAAATCAAACAAATGTGATTTACTAAGGTTTGCTCTTATAAAGTTATGCCGACAATGGCCTGTCAGTCTTTTATGGCTACAGGGTAAAAAAAATTGTTATTTGGTGTAGGATTTGTGAAAGTTGTAGTTATGTAGTTTCTTCTTTTCTAAAAACGTCTCTCTAACTATCTATGAGTCCTACAGTATATACTGAAAATGTCCATCCAAATTCAGCTATTGATGTGAAAATCATGTGTAATATTGACTTTAATAAGCTGCTATACTCTGCAGAAAAAGTAAGAAAAAAGAGCACAGCAACAATATCTTTATTAAAAAAAGATTGAGATCAGTTTGTTGTTTCTTCTACACATCGTACAGGTCAGCTGTTCCACACAGATCTGATGTTTGTAAGGTGGAATAGTTTGTAATGATGCAGCTTTCCTATGGATAAATCCTGCATTCCACCTGAGTCTCAGTCCTCAGGACCTCATACAGCTCACAGCAGTTTCCTAACAGACTAGTGCACCCTTGTAGAAGGCATATTCCTTCTTCTTCAACCTCCTCTCAAGCATCTAAACTGCCCTCCCTCAACAGGTGTTCTCATTTTTCAAACATTAATTAGTGCGGGTAATTATAGAAAGGCTCTGACTGACTCTTTGTGTATAAATTAGCTCTCTGGGACCCTGGCAAAGACCTTTGCAGGTAGGGTGAGGGCTATGATCCCCCTGAAGCTGAAACACACCCTCTGCCAGGTCCACATTAGAAAGAGGGGAACTATCACTCCAGTGTAGAGCACTGTCTCCAACTTTCCATAGATCAGACCCTGATGGTTAATCCTCTGCTCATTTTTCCACCTGCCATTTCTCACCTGACTCTCTGAGGATGTCTGGGTTGGCCACCGTCACAGCAGCAGTAAAATCGTTCCCTCTGTACTCAGTTTCAAATTGCCACGTTACAAACTGGGACTGCTGGGTCTAAAACACATTGAGCAGTTCAAAAAATGTTACTCTACCGATAAAGTTTATAACAGAAAACAGAACAGGTATCCTTTCATGGAGCATTATACATTACAAACAGAGAAAGTAAAGACAAATATTCTGAAGAAAGATGTCAAAGGTGTCAAGATTTGTAATAGCTGTAGGAGGGAACTGAATGAATGAATGAATGCCATGTTATGATCACACCTGAAACACTGTTCTGGCTCGCACGCGCTCAGTGAGATGCAGCAGAGCGTGGGCGTTCAGACTACCTGAGGAGTCCATCTCCCCGATCAACGCTGGAGCATCCTGAGATTTGACAAAGGAACAGAATGCGAGTTGTGAACACAAAAAGGCAGCAGCTCCCTCGCAGTTACCATTAAATTTTTTTATTATGAAGATAGCTTTGTGATGACTCACGCCTGACCTTGTCTTTGCTATAGTCGTCACTTTGCAGGTGCTCCACGTGAAATCGATAATACGACGGACTTACAGCGCTGAGGTGGAGCGTATGGCTGACCTGAAAACATTCCTTGGTTAATAATTATCACCTTTAAATGCTACAAACTGTTTGCATCTAAATTAAAGTGAATGGGAAAAAAATCACCTTGAAGAAGCTGCTCAGGGTTTTATTCAGTATCATCTTAACACCCTCAATCTGTTGAGGAAACACATCTGAAGAGGAAAAAACCAATCATGTCAAGAAACATTTAGATAATAGAATTTGTATTTCTGTAGCTGTTCACAGCTAGTAACAGAATTTAGAAACATAAGGATTGCTTTATTTAGCCTCAAAGGATTATGAGTAGCTAGAACCACACATTATACAAGGAAACATGGAGTTTTATCCATGGTTTTATCTTGTTTTTTTAAAATAACTTTAAAATAACTTGGGTTAACCTTGCTGCTTTAGAAGTGCAATAGAAGTAAAATTGAAATTGACATTTAACCTTACAGGAAAACAGTTGCAACTCTAATGAAAGAAGCGTCTTTTTTGCCTCACTTTAAGCATGGTGAGCACTCCTCACTTCTCCTATGTTAACCAGTGATACCTTTGCAGCTCCTGTGCAATGAGTGAAAGCTGCCTGGGTTGGGAAGGCGGCCATCCCTCCTCTCCCAGCGCGGTGGACTATCCCAGTGAGCAGGGTGTGCGTCCCAGCGGGAAGGAGGTGGGTCTGTGGAGAAAGGCCAGTTCTGATGGCCCGGACTGGAAGACAAAGCCAGAACGCTGCCCATGTGGGTGCAACACTCCCTACAAGACACAAAGACAAGATTTATTTCTCATAACCTGCTAAAAAAGAAAAACTCTGTTGTGCAAGGATACAACAGGGGAAGAGGACTAACCTCTTCTTAAGTGCATTTATGGGGAAAAAAAATGATGTTTATTATTTTTATTTAGTCAGCTTTGGGGGTTTTTTTGGTTGTTTTTTTTTAGAAAACCTCAATATCAGAATTACAAATTGCATCAACATTAACAGCACAAACCTACATTTTAAATGTATGAGAGCTTTGTATTGTTATGTCTCATCATACTGGTTTCCAAGGATTTTAAAACCAGGTCTGCATGGCTCTGCACGTCATGCATGCTGTTCTGAGGTTTATATGAGCAGGTGCCGCAGATCCGTCGGCTAGTATGACCTTAGCATCGGTAAAAACAGACATGTATGTGTGCTAACTGTTCTACTACCTACTTCCGATTTGATCGAAAGACCTTAAAATCCCGAGCGGAAATGAGAACCGCACATCAGGAAAACTGTCAGGCGGATTTTCCCTTAATTTCTTTACAAACACCAACTTGAGATGCAAAGCCAACTGATGCTGAGCTTCACTAATGCTGCAAATAGCTGCCTCGTGTGCCACCCCACAAATGCGTCCCTCTGAAACCACGGCGGGAACCCTGCACATTTGAAAACTGCACACTTTTACACCTTACTGTATAAAACTGGCACTTCTGTGGCCGCGTTATTAAAGTTGCAGCTATTGACTATTGGCTCCCGTTCAGCCAATTATTATTATTGTATTGATTTGATGTTTTGAGGGGAGCCTTTTGTTTCTAGTCGGACTATTTTATCTGCGACGCCGCTTCTAACGCAAGCTGCTACAGGTGAGCTCGGCTTTCACGTACTGCGGAGCTCGAGTTGGAGAAGGTCATCAGCTTTTCCAACAGCAGCGGTACTAACAGCGTCTCGCTCGCGCCTGTCTCAGGCAACAAAAACAAACAAAAAGCTTAAACATGGTTCCAAAACCACAATATTGACCCGTGAAGAAGACTGAAGGTGGCCGCTGTCACCCGCACACGCGGCTCATCCCTTTCAGGGACAGATTTTGGGGACAAGTTTTCACAGAGCTGAGTTTTTGGGAAGCAGCTTTGTTTGCGCTTTACCCTGGATATGTCTCCTTCGCGGGCAGTATTAATGGTGGGAGAAGGGAACTTCTCCTTTTCGGCCTCTGCCTGTCAGTTGTACTCCGAATCAGAGACCACCGTAACGGCCACTTGCCTGCAGCATCAGGAGGAGGCACTGCGGCACGAAGGCGCAGCTGATAACATCCAGACCATCAAGGACTCTGGTACGGCTTTTTACCAGCTGTAATAACTGCTGCTATTTTGAGTTTTATGGAGTTGTGCCCCCCTTCTTTCTTTCTTTCTTTCTTTCTTTCTTTCTTTCTTGCATACTATCTTTCTTTCTTTCTTGCATACTATCTTTCTTTCTTTCTTTCTTTCTTTCTTTCTTTCTTTCTTTCTTTCTTTGCATGCTATCTTTAACACTGTTTGTTCTTTCAGGAGGGACTGTGCTGTTTGAGGTGGATTGCACAAAGCTGGGGGAATGCGCCTCTCTGCAGGGCCATCTGTTTGACCGTGTGGTATTCAACTTCCCTCACTGTGGGCGAAAGAGTGGGGTTAAAAAGAACAGAGAACTTCTCAGAAACTTCTTCCTCAGGTAGGACTGCATCATGCCATGATCACAACATCATCACATGCATCACTTGCATTCATTTCTATCTATGCAAGAAGCCTAAAAGAGGTTTTTGATGCCTCAAGCTCATCATTATTGGGGCTTAAAAGGTTGTATGTGTTTTTCAGTTTGTTTTTATAACAGTTTATGTCCCTTTTTATGTGACATGTACTGGAATAATTGCAATTTATTGCCTCAATATAATTGATGTTATCACTTAATCTTGCTTCTTGTGTCTACTTAAGGTGTTTTAGGCAACTAATGACCAGGTTATGAAAGCTTCTACAGGATGCTCAGACCCTTCTAGCTGTTATTTGATCGAATAGTTACTGATTTAAATAAAAATGTAAACAGTTTTAATGGCACAATGAACGGAGAGAACCACCTGAAATAATAAAGCTTGTTTCTCTGTGGTAAGGCCTTGTTACCTTGGGGAAAAGGGCAGATTTGTTGAGAAAATAGCCTTTTACCCCCACTGTCACTATCAAAAGGTCAGTTTTTCTTTCTGGTTTTCTGATTTCTGTGGCAGTCTCAGCAGGAGGTGCACCGGCCTGTCAGGAGACTGGGAGTCTCGCACTTCATTAATTTTTTTTTTTCTGGCTTGGCACTGTGATCTCAAAATGATATCATCATTTAACCTTGTTTATTGTGCCTACTGCAACATGTTTTTAAATTAAAAATTGGAACTGTTTATATCGGACAGTGAATGGTCGTGCTTGAAATTCTTTTTATTTATTTAGTTTAATTCTGCAGAAAACATAAAATAATAAAGCCTGTGGTGACAGGTTAATTTATTTTGCTACCTTGGAAAAAAAGGCAGATTTATTGAGAAAACTGCTTTTCCCTCAATGCCAGTATCAAAATCTGATTATCTGCTATCCGGTTTTCTTATCTGGTTCTCACTGAGTCTCACTAGCAGCACTGAAGCATGCCCGCCTGTGAGGTCGCTTGGTGTCTAGCACTTTATTAAAGTTTTTCCTTGCTTAATTGTTTCTTTTGATCTCTAATAAATAAAGAGGAAATAAACTTTTTTTTCTTGCGATCACTAAATAACAAACCTGCTATCGTGAGAAATTGAGCTGTGTTATTGCAGGGTAACTGAATAATAATATTTGCTTCTTTGGTTATTAGAAAATAATCCTTTATGTCAAAGTCAAAGTCAACTTTATTTGTCAATTCTGCAACATGTACAGGACATACAGAGAATAGAAATTTCGTTACTCTCAAACCCTAGATGAAATAGCAAATGAACATTTAAATATAAGAGAGTGATTAAAAAATGCAAATAAAATAATTAAAAAGTAAAAATTTAAATAAATAAATACAATACAAATTAACAAGAAAGCTATGCAATATACAATATACAATATTCAGGTAAGGGTAAATGACATTGAGTGTAAACCAGGCAGAGTAGTGCAAATAGGCAAATAGTGCAAATGGAGATTTAGTAATGTACGGTAAGAGATAGTATAACAACAAAGTCATGTACGTATCATACATGTATTGACATTTTAAAATGTGAATTTGTTGTTCTTCCAGTTGTGTTCAAGTGTTGGCTGAAAGCGGGGAGGTTCACGTCTCCTTGTGCAGCGGACAAGGAGGAACACCAGCGGACCAGCCGAAGCGAGAGTGGCACAACAGCTGGCAGGCGGTTGCCATGGCAGCGGAGGCAGATCTAATTCTGAGTGCCATCCACCCTTTTGAAAGTGATAAGCACCAGAGCTACAAGTGCACTGGATACAGGTAAGGAGTAAAGGTGAGTCTATGTATAGAAGCAACCCAGCTGTATCTCTTTGTTTGTTTTCCTTGTATGTTTGCATGCCTGGCACTAATGATGATATCGCTGCTGAACAGGAGCCAGGATAAAGGCTTTCATGTGGAGAAAGCTTTGGTCCACATGTTTACTCGCAGCATCCCCTACACTCCTGCTCATTTGCTGAAGGTGGAGGAGGTCGTTGAAGGAGAGAAAGTGCAGTACGAAATACCAGCAGAGCTCAGTGATTACATATTCAGGTACAGTAACACAGTGGCTACCCGGGTGTTTGCACCACCAACACACACACATAAATCACATAAATATAATTACAACCTCTTTTCTTTCATCAGGAGATTTCTCTACTCACATTCTGTCCACCCTGTCAAGTTGGTGCAAGATTTTCTTCTCGAAGGTCTGGCGAAGAAATGGCCGGTCTCCATGATGACAGAGACCATCCCCTTCCTCCTCACAGCAAAACAGCTGCAGACACACTGCTGTGGCATCGATGGCGCACAATGCTACTGGATCCACCTGCTTCAGAAAGACCTCACCTCTGACACTGATACCTCTGCAGACAAAGAAAATGATCCGAGACCCACAGAAACTCTGCTGCCCACATGTCTTGCCTCAAATAAAGGAGATAGGGTGAGAATCAAAGGAGTTGAGAGCTTCAGGTCAGCATGCTCTCTTGACATTGATCCTGAAGGGGAAAGTGGTATGCACATGCTACGTCCATCATTGCTCCCTCAGATGGAAGAGCTTCTAGCTAAAAAAGAGGCGATAATTAACGCCGATGGTCATGGTGACTGTGAGGGGAGTGATGAAAGTGAAGGAAATGAGAAGGATGAGTCCTGTGGGAGCTGTAATGGTGTTACCAGCTTGTTATATGGAATTAGTGGTGTGGTTTTCAGAAATGTACCCATCGGCCTCTGGGCTATGCCTGCCTTTCACGAGCTCCTCATCCAAGGTGTTTTTCCTTCAGAAAGTGAGCCGGGTAAATTGCTCGGAGAAAAGCTGGAAACGCTACTTGCTCCTTTTGGCGTCTCCATAGTAACAGAGCAGGGAGGTCTGCGTCTGAAAGCGCAGCCGGTGGGTTTGGTTGGTAAGGTGTTTGCAAGCGATGTAAGTGACAACAACAATCATGTCCGCATCACTGCGTCTCTAAATTTGGACCTACTCGCCGTGCTCCTGTTCTCGCTCCCTGACTGGAGGCTGCTTTGGTCACATGACCCACGTTTCTTAAAACAATTTTCATCCCACCCATCGCCGGGGACTCAGTTTCATGCTTTTTGCCTGTATCCCGAACCTTTCACCTTTGACATCAGCTTCTGGACTGGGCCTACGTGGGAGGAGAAGAATTTCCACGCGGTGGTCCGAGAGGCTAGTTGTGGGACCGTGGAGCAAGTTAAACTCATTGACAGGTTCTCACATCCTGATCTGAGCCAGACCAGTTACTGCTACAGACTCATCTACCACTCACACACACATGCTCTGTCACACACACGAGCACTCCAGTTTCACAAACACTTGGAGACTCTACTTTCCTCTCGATTACAAGTCACCATCAGGTAGCCATCACTTGAAACTCAGAGAAGAACGGCGATTTACACTCTTACCTTTAAGAGGCATTATCTGTTTATATCTGCATAGAAAATGATAAATGTGTAATCTGCAGCTAAACAGTGTTTACAGTTGTTGAGGTGTTGTTTGCTCTATTGTGTCTACATTGTGATTGTAATTCTGTGTATATGTTTGTGCTTCAAGGAAACAATAAATCTGTTATTTAATGTAAATTTTTGGCCTCTGGAGTTACTGTAAAAGAGTAAAAGACACATATGGTGCACCACATGGCAACATCGTGACACTGACATAAAGTAAACAATTCTCAATAAGAACAGACTGAGATTAGTTAGTGGTCACATTACACACACGTTGTAAAGATGTAAAAAAAATAAAATAAATTCCTTTATCTAACTGTGTCACAAAAGAATAAACACTTACCACAGTACTCTGCAAAAGTCTTCAGCCACCCATAATTTCTTTATATTTTGTGTCCAGGGAGTCAGACTTTCTTGCAGTTTTAAAATAGTCTTGTTTTCTTTCTGACTTCATTCAAACATAAAAAAAGAAACTTAATAAGTGTTGTATCTACACATAATAGACAACCTAACAAAAAACTTTTAAATTGTACCTTTAGGCACTTTGTTACTAGCAGCCTTTTATGAAAGCACATAATGTGT